GGCTATTTCAATGGGGAGAACAGACAAAATACCATCAAATCAGGGAAAGTAAGGGAGCACCTGCTGTCTAGGGTTCTATCCTGCAAGTAAGTCGACAATAAGATAAGAAATCGGTCGAAACAAGCGTGGCTTAAATAGGGAGAAGTGGGTGGAATGATCTGCAACAGGAAAATGCCCATAAAGCTAAAGGAGAAGGTATAAGGAAGGATAATGAATCCTGTACTTCTGTACTGAGCGAAATGTTTGGCTACCCTGAAGAAATACCTGCAACAGCTGAACTCGATAGAAATGTTTGCTCAGATGCATGTGTAGTGTCAGCAGAAAGGACCACGTCCGAAACAGCTCCAAAAGAGGCACTAGAAAAGAGGGAGCAGCCCCATTTTCAGAAAAGTTTATTGCAAGCAGACTCTGTTGGTTCGGACACGTGAAAAGAAGACCCATCGAGTACGTTGTAAATCTAGCCAAAACACTGCTACAGCCAGAAAAAAATTTAAAGACAAATGTCGCCAAGAACGATATGAAACTGCGAGAAATCACCGAAGACGTAACTAAAGATCAAAAATATTGAGGTAGTTGAGTCGAATAAGCAGACCCCTGTTAAAGGGAACACACGAAACGATTATCATCTACCTTAGAAAAAAAACTGACACTGCGAATCTTTGCAAATTTGTGCTGTGCGTAAACAAATGTAGATTTAAGGAAGAAGGTTTTGACTGATATATAATGTCCCTTAGAAAAATGTAGCTATCCCCCCCCCTCCTGTGGTGTAGCGCATTTTTAAGGCGACTGGTCAATACAAATCGCTTTGATCTATGTCCCTTCCCGCATATGTTACAAAAACCAAATCATAACGATAAGCACAATTAGAACAGGATATTCGGTTCTCCATGGCGTGATATTGATCGTAGTCGCTATTAGCGTTCGAATCGATTAGTACCCGAACAATAGCAAGAGATACGCAGGCAAATTTAAATAAAACATCTAATCGTGAATTGATTTTACTAATTGTTCTGACTCACTCACTGCCTCACTTTTAGAAACGATGCTTTAATTTAGTGTTTTAGTAGACCGGCTATTTTGGACATAATCTTTACCTTGAAAAAATGCACAAAATTGACATTAAATCGACTTACAGTCTTAGAGAGTTTCATGAGGAAGGAGAAGGAAAAAAGTACAATATCCTAGTCGGTAGTAACATATGACTGGGTAAGGTTCGGTTTACGTTTGTCACATTAGTGGCGACTAATCATCGTTAAAACCCTTAAAAGCATCAGACTTATAAAATAATATGAATATGATAAAGTGCCTACTGAACATTTGATCTTGCACCTCAGAGACTTCGTAATGAACTTTCAGCACATGAGTTAATCACAGAGTGCAAAAGTATAAATATTAAAAATTAACTTTGCCAAATGATATAAATCAAAACTCAGCTATTCACGGTTGTGCGTTATAATGCAATGGCAAAATTTCGACAACGCAAATTTCACTCTTCAACATTCTTTTGAATATGTTCGATTACGCAGTCAGGTCGTAGAATCAACTGCCACAGTGAAGTACTTTGGATGATGTGTGTTCTTCGTAGCT